TTCCCTGACCTGATACATTTTTTTATTTCTTTGTCATTAAAGATGAGCTTTTTTCATAGCTTTCTGCCTGCATCACTTGTGTTGAGGCCAGGGAAGCCATGCAGTGCTGTGGGGGGACGTGGCAATGTGCTCCATCCAGAGCCCTGCAGAGCCGTAACGCTCCTGCCTGTCCTGTCCTGTCCTGTCCTGTCCTGGGAGGACACTGCTCTGCCTGCACACACAGGGGCACGTGGCCACACCACTCTGTGCCTGGATCCAAATAACATCTGGGCTGTTGATGAAGCTGATGGGCAAAGCATAGGAGACCTGGGCATGGGAGAGGGCTGCTGCTCCTGCCACTGGGAGTGTCCTTGTCTCACTAAGCTCCTCTTCCAGAATGGGGAGTGGGGACACGAGGACAGGGGGTGTGTGTGCCTGCACAGAGTGGGGGCACTGCCCCAGTGCTTTCGGGCGGGAAACATGAGCAAAGAAGTAGCCGTGCCAGCTCCTCAGATCAGCCTGTGTGGGCCAAGCTCGAAGCGGAAATGGAAACGCAGAAGGAGCAAAACCCGGGGCGGAGATGGAGCAAACACTCGGCAGCAGAGCTGGCAGGCAGCGACGGCCAGGGTCAGCCCACACAGGTCTCTGGAGGGTCCTCACCCGTGTCTACCTCTCCGTGATTGGCTCTAGAGAGCAACAGGCTGTGCACTGACCTGGGATTTATTCGTGAAATGTAAGTTAACACTCAAGGAAAAGCAGCCACAAATGTGTGATGCAAGGTCTCAAGCAGAAAACACGTATGGGCCCTTACGGGAATCGCTGTGAGATCAGTCTTATGCACAGTGACCAAGGCAAGGAGCTGTTTTCCAGTGGTGTCAGCTCTTCAGGCAACAACAGTTTGCTCTTTGTGGGGCAGAATAATGCTGCAGTGGCTCTTTCGCCCATGTAACCTGCTCCAGTGACAGGGGAGCCTGCAACGGTCATTGCAGCTAAACCACACCAATCTGTTCCTTCCATCTGCATGCGCCTCGGAGCAGGGCTTCAGCAAACAAGCGACCAGAGGACTGCCTTGCTCTTCTCACCAGCAGATCTCAAAATAATTAGCAATGCGGCTAACCGCGTTCAGACTCATTTCGGTAGGGGAAAGCCATGGCAGAGCGAGTATGCAGTGCTCCGGTCGGAGAGCAGGGGGGAACGTTTATAGCTAGTCTATTTTTGAAAAGTTCGGCTCAGCACCTCACCCCTGCGGGGCACACGGAGCTATGTCTGTAGTGCAGCTAAACACAGAGGCAGCGAGATGTTGTCACGGCATTACATTGATCCCACCGCGATAAGGAGAGCGTGGGATGACACAGTTCGTGGCAAACACCAGCAAAAATGCAGTCCTATAAATGCTGTGAGAAGCACAGGATAAAACGGGGCAAAATCTATCCCTTGAAGACCCAGAGCAGTCCAAGCTCCTCATATCCTATTTGGGGCAATGGGCTGTACGCCTGGGCTCAGCAAACTTCCTCAGAGCAGCGGTCTCAGAGGAGCACTGATGATCTGTAGAAGCTGACAACCTGGCCCAGGGTGTTTATAGAGATGCTGCTCTTCATATCTTAACAATCTCCTGCCTAGCTACAGAGCGCTTTGCACGGTGAGCCCAGCTGTGCTGCCTCCCTCTAAAACCACATCCTGAGAGGTAAGCACAGCAATTGAGGCAGGAACCTTGCTGTGCGCTTGGCCCCGCCGCGCTGAAACTGCAGGGTTAAACTAGCCTCCCGCAACCCCCTTGCTGCTGCCGTTTCCTCTCTTCCCAGCCGTCTCAGCAGAGCAGCAGCAGTCCGGCTCGCTCAGCCCATGCGCTGGGCTGCTGCTTTAGCAGCGGCTCCTCTCCAGCCCCGTCCTGCTCGCAAACCCGCTTGCCCAGGCTGCGTTTGGCAGTGCAGTTTTGGAGGCCCGATCGTCTGCCCCATCCTGGCACAGTCTGCTCCCGAGCCCTTCGTGTGCTACTGCAGGGTGAGCCAGCAGGGTGGCCCCACAGCAGCTCTCAGTCTGGGAGACGACCCCTCCGCTGGGAACCCCATTTTTAGCAGAAACTGCCTTCCTTTAGAAGAAGAAAAACAATCAGGAAAAATCAGGAAACCTTTCAAATGCGTATCTTGAAGAGCTGTCTCTCAATTTATTAATCTACCACAATTCCTCTTAATGTACATGATAAAAGCTAAAACAGGTCTTTACCAATGGCAAAGATACCTGCCATCCTAGTAACAGAGAGAATCCAGCAGAGATGAAACAGGAGACAGGAAGAGTGGCAATAAAGAACAGATAAAAGATAGCTATAAATGGAGAAATAAATAATTTTCTACTCAGGAAAATTAAACTCCTCCAGCACACATTCTTGTACAGTCCCCAGGCTTTGCATGCTCCACAAACATTTTTATCCTGTGCTGTGCTATAGACTAGCAGTAGAAATGGAGAAGTCTCTGGGATGAGAGGGATAATCTAGCAAGACGGTTTGATGCTCTCTTGCATCCTGTAGCATGACCTGTGTGGCCCCAATGGTTTCTTTTTCATTCCACTAACCAGGCTGTTTTTAGGGCAGAGGGGTGGTCCTGAGGCTGAGCCAAAGGGGCTCAGTTCCCATTTGGGTAAAGCAAAAATCCCCCTTTGCTGTCCCACAGAGACTGCAAAGCTGATACACATTGCTATGCAGGGCCCAGTCTCAGCTGAAATATCTAAGAACTCTGTAATTTAATAGTATCTAAAATCTAATGCTCCGACAAATATTTAAGCTTCCTAGTAGGAAGCTTTCAGATGGCTCTGGAGGGTGCCAAGTCCCTGTGTGAACCTGTCAGGCTCTGAAACATAAAGGACCATGGGCCAGCTCAGCTACTCTGTGATCCATCACACTGCTCTGTCAGCAGCCTAGGGAGGCATGAGGGGCAAGTGCAGGCACCCACGGCAGAACACAGGAGAAAATTCTGCAGCAGCGAGAAAGAAGTGTGAGGGAAAAGGAGGCCATGAACCACAAGTAAAGCTTCAGTCAGTCCTTTAATGAGAAGGAAAACTTCTCTTGCCAATGTGTTCATCTCTTCCTTTTCCCTTCTGTCAGACTGAAGGGACATGTCAAGGAGGGGCAGTTGAAGGCAGCAGGCTGCCTGTCCTGTGTAGCCATCTAGCTCTTCCCCAAATGTCTGTGCCGTGGGAGGACAGCAGAAATGCTAAAACAGGCAGCAGAAATCTGCTATCAAGCGGGCCAGAAGCTCTTGGCCTCTCCGCCGCTCTTTTCCAGCTTGTCGTCCATGGGAGTTTCAGAAGCCCCTGGGTTCCAGGCCTGCATACACTTCCCGCTGGCCCTTCCGGATAGGCTGTGGGAACAGCATTCAGATTAGTTAACCCTGGTTAACGCACACTCTGACATTCCTAGGTCTTGGTGCACACAACACTCAGAGCAAAGCACAAGAGAGAGCGGCAGCGCTGCTCTGCTAATATGTACAGCGCACTGGAAGCTGCACTTGTGCTCCTGACTTCTAGAGTCACTGCTAAGGGAAGGGCTCCCCTGCCCCTGGAAAAGCTTGGAGGTTCACCAAGTGCTTTATCAAAAAAGCGCAAAGGACAAATGCTATGGATTCCCCGCTCCGGCTATCCCTCCCCAAGCAGCAAAAACATGGCAAAACTGCAGATTCTCCATACCTCATAGTCTGGGTTGGGAACAGGAGGAGGATGCTGCATCTTCTGACCTGCAACAGAGGAAGACAGTGGCCATCCTTGGTAATGCCTCTTATGCCCCAATGCCAGGGACTTTCATGCAGATGACCCCAGGGTAGTTTGTAATTTGTGTCGTCCCCCACTGCTGAACACATTGTGCCACCAACTATGACTTCAGAAGCTATAAAGGCTAACTTATAGTTTAAAAAACGTTGTGATTTCTAACTCCATCTTCTGTGTGCAAGCCTGATGCTTGCTCCTTGAGGGCCTGAGACGGCAGCCGAGCAGGCCGAGGCCAGGCTGCTCTTGCTGAGCAGCCGTTAGACAGTTCTTGCTTCAGCGCAGACTCACCACCACTTCACAGCAGCCTGCGAAATGGTTTCCTGTGGGCAGGACAGCTTTGACACAAAATGGCAGGCGCGCCCATCTGCCACAGGAGACAGCTCACAGCGGCAGACGTGGTGGGCAGGAGCGGAGGAGTCTGACAAGGCCGTGGAGGCCCAGAGGAGACACAGGCTGCTCCGGCGCTGCCAGGGCAAGTTCTCTGCACCCCAGGGAGGCCCCAGACGGCAGACGCACCTGACACGGCTCTTACCTCGCGGTCGGCTGCCTGCACCAGTGCTTGTTTTCCCCTTCCTGTCCTTGCTGAAGTAATAGACCAGAATCAGCACCCCAAGGGTGATGAGAAGGTCTGCAACGACGATCCCTGTGACAGCTAAAGCATCCAACTCCTCACAGTTTGCGCACACTGTAGAAGGAGAGGTGAAGGTGTTCAGAGACTGACACCCTGACTCTTGAGCACAGCGAAAAGGGGGGAGCTCCAGGTCTGAGACCTCACAATCAGGGCCAGCTTTCTGCTCACAGTGTTCAGGCCCCCCTCTTCTGCTTAACATTAGCAGAAAGGATGCAGCTCTGGGTGGAAAGGAGGAGAAAGCAAACAGAAATGGAGAGAGAATGGACAGGATATTCTTTCACAACATTTGCTTCCATCTGCCAACGATTCCAGGGTCTGATGTGTGCAATAAACTCACTACCCTCTTCTCTTCCGCATGGCCTTAGCAGGATGATGCAAAATGTCTTCCAGAATATTACTGCTCTGTTCACACCTACCTACCTCTGATCCCAATCTACCTCTGCTGGCTTCCAAGGCCTGGGTGCAGAGCAAATTTGCAGAGCAAATTCCCAGTATATCAGAGGTTAAAATCAGCATCAGGAGGGAGGAACACTCTCCCTGGTTCCATGTTGATTTGCAGAAACCAGGCTGTGTGCTCTGGATGTGAGGCCCGTACTCTGTGAGACAAGAAGCGCCTCCAGTCTTTGCGATGGACATTACCCATCCACCATTAGCCCTTGCAGAGTTTCTCATGGACAGAGCGTGCTTTCACTCACCTCTGGCATTCAGGTACATAGCGTACTTCTTGCCACCTGATGAGCAACTCAAATTGAGAGGGGAGCTGTCATAATCCTCTATGATGTATTTTGTCTCATCATCAGATGGTTTTATTACAGCTGGATCCCAGGTTATGGTGCCTTCAGTCACAGGACATGTGATAGTCACTGTAGTTCCAGAAATCTCTACCAGGAATTCTTCACTGGGAGGTGGGTCTACAGATAAGGAACCAACATTGCAATGGGCTTTTGCGCAGGCCCCCCTCAATCCCAGAAATCCAGCTGGAGAAGAGCCATCTCAGCCCTCTTTGCCAAGCAGCTTCTTGGAAGTTTCTGAAGTACCTGCTTCCACCATGGTAGCTGGGTTTGCCCAATCTTTGAATTTTTGGTAAAAATGTAAATTCCCCGTGCATGTGTCTTTTGCACAGATCTCTTCCTTTAGTTTTCACATTAATCTTTTTGCAACACTAAGCAGTCTCAAAACACCATCACAGAATGTTTAATTTCATGTCAGAGAGTTTGGCCACATGCCACTAATCGTATGCTGGCGGGCTCCCGCACATGCCATCCATACCCTCTTTGGAGATCATTAACAATAACTTGGGGCAACTCATAGTAGATGATATTTGTTTTTTTAATCAGGGGTAACAGTAGCAACTAATGAACAAGGAATCTTCCCCTCTTAAAATACAGCTTGAATACAAGTATTTCTGCCTACCTCTTAGTCCTCCCTTGTGATGTTTCTGCAGTGTTTATATTACCCTAAATAGTTAAGAATGCTGGTTAAGCACACTTACCTTCCTGTGCTTCAGCACCCTCTGCAAAGGAAAGAAAAACAAGTATTAACAAACCTGCCTGCTGTTTTTTCTATTGCTTGCTGGTCTCTGCAAATATCCAGCCACGCTTGGAAATTACTAGCAATAATTCAGGGCAATTCATGAGAGCTAGTTTTTCAAATCAGTAAGAAAAGCAACAAGTAATGAACAGGGAATTTTTCCTAATCTACGATATTTGCAAAATTCAAATATTTCTGTTTGACTTTGACTCCTCGCTTGTGAGGCATCTGTGGTCTTTTTATCATATTAAATAGTTAAGAACTCTGGTAAAATAGACTTACCCTCCTGTGCAGCTGTGCCAACTACAAAAGAAAGAATAATGAGTGTTAACACATTAAATTACTGATATCTTATATCTTTCCTAATTCAAGGGAGTCTTTCCCGAATTCAGCTGCTTGTGTTACCTGCATTTGTGTCACGTGCATTACAAGCAGGGAGTGGGCTAATATAAGATGTGATTCTGAGATGAAATCTTTTCCTATGGAAGCCATGTTTAAAACAGATCAAAGCAGAATGGAAATTTGACTGGTTTTCGAACCAGCAAAGTTTCTAAGCTGGAGCATTACAAAACTAGTTTGGGGGGAGGTCTGAATCAGGCCCATGATTTGCTTTAAAGATTTCCTATTTGTTGTTAGGAACTAACACAATAAATAGAAAATGGGCTGCGTTCATCTGCTTGGTTCTGTTGTCTCATCCCAGGGAACACTTGTTTTACAGAGCAACGTGTAACAAAATTTTGGATTTGAAATTCCGCAGGTGTAAGAGTTGGCTGGATAGAAGGCAATCTGATGCTTTAATCTTTATCTTAGATGAATTTAAATATTAAAAAGAACACAGCATTGCCAAGTCAAATGTTTTCTATCTTCTCAAAGAAAAGCAGTTGGTATTTGGCACACATTAGGTGAAGTTGTCTTATTTAAGTATCTTTTAATCATCTTTCCGACTTATCTCTGAGAGTTAACAATATCTTTATAGCCTTTGCAGATACTCTGCCCTTCATCTTAAAAAAGCTTTCCAAATACTGGTCAGTTCACTTTGGCAACACGGAAGAATGCCGCCTCTCCCATTTTATCATGGTGAATTGGAACACAAAATGGAAGTAATCTACCCAAGACCACAAAATAGTTTAAGAAAACGGCATAAATAAATACTGGAAATAGAATGAACATAAAGTCTCAGGTTCTTATAGAAGACACTGCTGCAAAAATTACTGCCTTCAAGCTCCGGCACTTACATTTCACCCCCAGCACTGCATTAACTTTGAAGAGCGGGTGTTTTAGTGAACTAGCTAGTACTTTGGGACCTTAGATCCTTTCCTCTAGCCGAGAGGGTTGGATTCCCGATCCTGGTCTCTGCACCTGCACTTTGAAGGGAATACTCAGTCTAGACAGCTGTGGCTCCCCAGGCACTGTGTCTGACAGAAGCTGCGGGTACTTTGCAAAACTAGCTGCACACTCCCCTGCTTGCTGCTCTGCTGACCCGGGCAGATGCCCTTCTGACCACCATGGGCTTCTGGCCGCTGTACTCACCCACACACAGCAGGAGGCCCAGAAGAAGCAAGAAAAGCTCAAACCTCATCCTCGTGTTCCTCCTTCTCTTGCTCTTCTCTGCCATCCCTGATCAAATTGGCATCACTGAGTCCGGCTGTGAATAAAGAAAGCGCACGTTGGCTTTCCAAGTTCTGGCTTACAAGAAAGAGGCCCAAGGTTTTTTTCCCAGAATTGGGTACAGCGACGAACTGAGCAGCGCCGAGGAGACTCACTGTTTCCAGCGAAACCTGCAGGCAGTCAAGAAAGACACAGAACACGAATGATAAAAAAATGTGCGCCAGGAAGTGCGGAGACTCAAAATGTCTTCACTTCTGAACGTCATCGACAGCAAGGGTTGGCTGCCGTGCGCCAGCCCCGTTCAAGACTCAGGAGAGCTGCTGTAACTTTCCCAGGAGCAGTAGGAGAGATGAACAAGCCCATGTTAGATTTGCTTTCAGGACCACCCTAACAACTTGTTTAAAGTGAGCATTTCTAAAGATGAAATAGTGGAAAGCAACTTAGCATAGCAAGGGAATAAACAAAGGAACCCCCAAAGCTATGAGAATCTCAACAGTGAGAAACACTCTACGGCCAGCAGAAATGAGCCTTTGAGTTTCCTGAAGTAGCACCAGCTCCAGTGATTGTGTTTGCTGGATTCCTACCATGCCACTCCTTCTCTGGATGCTAGAGGAACACAGGACATCAACAGCAGTAATGACGCAGACAAAAACAAGGTAAAAAGACCCAGGTGGAAGGAGAAAGACCAGTAACAAAGAGATGTAGGTCATACTTACAAGCCAGGTAAATAGCTGGGTTTTTATGCTGCTAAGCCCCGTGCCAGCTGGGATGAGCCTTGTGTGACTGGTTCAGCACTCTCTCAAAAGCTGTCTTGCAATTTCTGCTGTGTTTTCCTCAGTTCACACAAGACTCCACTGGGGACTTTTAGTCACTGATGACACGACCTGGATTTTAACTTTGTTCTTTCTCTGTAGCCCAGCCCATCTGATCCTGGGGCCTCTTCAGGAGTGGCATGTGGCACGGAGGAGCACAGTGAAAGGAAGCGTGGCTAAGCACAGCACCACGTGCTGCAAACCTCTGAGCTGCAGCTGATGTTCTGCTCCAGACAGATCGTACATGACATTTTTTCCTTTTGTGAGGGTATGTGTTTAGCTCTTCTGTTCTCTGTGTCTCTTCAACTTCAGTATGAGACTGCAAAAACAATTATACAATTTCAGGTATGGGTGTTGTGAATCACGCCTATAATAAAATCTGCTTTATTTCACTAATTCATATTTATTTGTGTCAACTCATAGGTCCCCTAAGAGGGAAATGCAAGGAGGAAAGGCTGTGCCTGTTTGGAAAAAGCCTTTGCTATATCAGCTGCCAAAAGCAGTAGGGAAATTCCTGCCTGAAAGGCTGAGACATCCTCCCATTTAAACCTAGGAGGGGTCCAGGCCCTGTGCTTGGGCACCACTGCGACTGTGCCTATGTGGAGCATTTGCAGCATCTTTTTTTGAAGCTTTCTGTGCGCTGAGAGTTTTGTCGGGTCTAACAAGCCGGGTTGAAAGAGGCCTGACTCCACTAGAGGGGGCTCCCAGCCCTTCCAAGCGCTCTGCTCTCACTCGGTCACTGCTGCCGCCTTGGCACAGCAGAGCAGAAGGGAACCTCCTCTGCCCAGGCCTCCCCCTAAGCGGGCAAAGCCCTGTGCAGCGGGCAGCAGCAGCGGGACAGTCCTGCTTCAGCATCCCCAGGAAATGCTATGGCACTAGAATGCTTTCTTTTCCTGGGCCATTATAAAAATGCCTTTTCTGGCTGCAAGACCAAACTGCTTCCATGCCCCGAAGGACAGCCTCTAGGAGCCCTGTTTGGGATCACGTTTCCTTGTTCTGCTGCAGTGCACAACACACTGCATAAGCTCTCTCTCCTCTGAGGTGAGCCAGTCAAGACCAAATGTTCATTTTAACGCCACTGCAATCACAAGAGATCGGTCTCTCCCAAGACAAGAAAGTGGCGCTTGGGAAGACTGAGCCAGTCTCCTTGACCTGGAAAAGGATACACTGGTTAAAAATGAGAGCCTGTGCTGAGGTGCTGCATGTTCTGACCTGAACAGTGGTTGCTGAGTAGCAAAAACAGCACAGCTCCTAGCGCTGTTAGGGATCTGCAAGCCGTGGGATCTGCAGAATTGGCACAGGGAGGACTTACCCCTTCCAAGTCTCCCTTGGGCGCGCTGCACGTAGTGGCTACACACTCAGTACTTCCCAGCACGCAACCGCAAGGATGTTCCGACAGCGAGAAGGGAGAGAGATGAGCACATGGCTGCTCTTTCCCAGGAAGTCTGAGAGTCCTGCTGCTCTCCTCTTTTCCATGAACACCTTGTTCTGGTCAGCTGCGACACGCTCGCAGTGCGCCCCAGCTAAGCCAAGGCATCCCGGCTGGCGCACACACGGCTCAACACTGACACTGCCCCGCTTGGTGCTCAGCTAAAGGGAGCCTGTCAAAGTGCCCAGAAGTTAGCGATGTCCTCCCCGTCCCTGCCCTGGCCCCATGCAAGGACGGCAGCACCAGTGACAATCGAAGCTCCTAAGCTGGCAGGACTGTTTGGAAACAGTCCAAGGACCAGACCCATACAGAGCCACAGCCAGTAGCAAATCAGGCTGGGAAGTGATTTATGGTCCTCTCCTGCAAACATCCTTATCTTGCTAACACACATGCACGACTCAGTTCCACACTCTGACAACTGCCACACTCTGCCATCGAAATATCCTGTGTCCCACTGAGTTTCTCTAGTTCCTTGAGTTGCCTGTTAAGCAGCGGGATTTCCCAGCTGTGCCTGAGTGTCAAAGGGCTGGACTCCCGTTCAGTATAATGTCTTTCGACTTTTCCGAGCAGCTTTCAAGCACCAGTTAATTCAGTCTTACAATTCTGCCATGCGATGCCTGCAACTAGGTAACCTCACAGAATGATTAGTTATTCTACTGTAGATATCTGCAGTTCAGTAAGACATTTCCATCCTCGGGATGTGCATGCACGTTGCTGCAAAACAAACCTGTTTTGGCTTGCCTTTTTTCCTATTGTTTGCAGGTATCTGTTGAACACATAGCCCTCATCCCTCTAGGCTATAAACACCTTAAGGCAAATTTACTTTTAGGAGCACACTACCTCCCATGAGGGGAGTGGTTTCAGATGGAAACTGGGAGGAGGGATGATTGCAACACAAAAGAGCAAAGGAATATGGGAGCAGACGGAATTAATCTTACCTTGAAAATCTGCCTGTTTTACCCACAGAAGGGACCTGTGTGGGCCGTGCCTCGCCTTTCCGTGCCAGGGCGGGGAGCGCGTGCTGACTCAAGCAGGAGGAAGCTCTCATGGCCTTGTGGACCACGCTGAAAGGAAGGAATTCGCTCTAGTGTCGCGGGAAAGCTTTCAGGAACTCATTTTCTATCCGGTCATCGGGAGTCCCAGACAACGTCGTTTTTACCTGCACTGCTCAGCGTCTGGAGAACGAGCTTGTCTTCCTGATGCATGGCCCCACCTGGCTGGGTGCTGTGCTCTTCCTTGGGGTACAGCTCCGAGGTAAGGAAACCTGGTTTTATGCAGCCTCAGCTGCATCTCGACTTTCCTCTCCTGATCAGTAAATTGCCGAGCTTATTATAGGAGTGACTTTATAGAAGTCTCAGGCGTGCCGTGCACGATCGCTGTGATTCTTCAGCTCACGGGTGCGCCGTGAGTGACATGAAGTGATTGAGTTTCTCAGACAAACAGGTTTAGGCGTGTTCCAGTGGAAGAAGAACACCGAGCTCATTCTGAGCTCCAGTTACACACCTTTTCGGGCCCCAGCCTCGCTCCCTGCTCCGGCCAGGACTCTGGACTTTACTCCTGGATGTTTGTTTCACTATCTTTGTTATTAGACAAGTGGAGCTTTTTAAAAAGGGCTAGCTTTAAGTCCGTTATGCTGCAGTGAATCCAGAACAGCAATAAACTTACTTGAATTTTCAATCGTTTATAGTAATGTAACTGGAAACCGAATTTGCTATAAGAATACCATGTCCTCCTTTTCCAAACACATTGGCACACAGATACCTTTTCGTAACCTCTCCTGAAAAAATTCTTCCATAGTCAATTCCTACATCTGCTATTCTTAAGAAGTTTAAAATGAAGAGAAGATTTTACAATGATCTATCCCAGAGAAGTTTTCAGACCTGAACACCTTCAATGTTTTGGCATTTCAAAAAAAATCTCCTTTGAGAAAAGAAAATATTTGGCAAGAAAGTTTTGATAAGAAATTACTTTCAAAAAGATAAATCCATTGCATTTTCAGATTATGAAGTACACTGACTAGGCCACAGATTTAAAATTTAGACTGCCTATCCAGCTACAGACAATTATCACAGAAAAACAAAAAGGTAATACAAATAGGAAAATATACCAGCCCAGAGAAGCTACTTTTTGCTTGAATCAACAGTTTGGTGAGTAATTTCTCTTCCTAGGGTGACTAGAAATTATTGCTCATTTCTTTTTATTTTTGGGGGGGAGGGAGTGTTATTCCTAAGAAGGAGTTAAAGGAAAGTTATGGGAGTGCCTGATCAGGAAGAAGGGGGGCTGCTACTGGTGGCAGCAGCATGATCAGCTCCGCTGTTCTGTGCAAACCCAGAGGGACTAGGTTTAGTCAGTTCTGAGAGCTGAGGCGGTCAGGCAAGCAACACAGCGATCGTGGGGAAAATGCAGCACCACTTTTGTAGCAGCAGTCTGCTAGACAGGTTACACTGTGTGTGCAACAGCAGGGTGGGCCAGAGGACAAATGGAGTTTGAAGCTGAACAGCATCTACATAGACAATCCTTTTGCTTTTTTATTTTCCGTTTTTCTGTCTTTATGCTCTTTTACTGCTTGTCTATCTTTCTGGATAGCCTAACTTGATACTAACTTATTTTTAAAGCAGCAGCTGTGGCAGTGTGGTTAACAAAGGATGCCTCTTTGACAAACAAATACTTACAGATTTACCATAAGGATGTCCTGCACTGAGTTCCCCAACCTGCTTTGACTTTAATTGTGCAGCAGTGCTGTTAACCTCCTCAACAAGCACTTCTTGCATTAGTAAGAGTAGCTTTCACCATGATGGGCAGGACACTCACCCTGATTATATGAAGTGTATAAATGAAAATCTGTGTAGTCTGCCTGGGATGGGAAATGGCAATTGTTTATAGGTGCTCAGCAGTGCTAATTGAAAGGACAGGACTGCTTTTCTAAAGGGAGCTTCCCTGGGGAATAGAGCACAGTAGAATGTAACCACATGCAAGAAGGTGACCAGGACAAGTGCCTGAATAGTTAGCAGGCATCAGCAGCAAGTGTATACTACAAGCATTTATTGCATCTCCTATGCATTTATTGCAAGCTTGTTTATCCCTGAAAAAGGTAGAAGTATTCCCTCTCCCCAAAAAACAATGCGATATTTATTGCCCTTTCAGGCAAGGCTTTTTCAATGGTCTCCACTCAAACAGTTATCAGATCTGTGAATGTTTAATTGTACAGACACAACATTGACGAGTAAGTTCTGTATCAACTCAGATGAACTCAAACTTCCCCTGAAACCGGCGCTCTATGGCTTGTGTGGCTTGCAGGAAGTACATGGGATCTCTTGGTATTTGCATAAGTACGATTGTGCCCTCAGTAATTAAATCTGTATCCTTTTGATCATCAGGTTAAACATTCACAGGGAGAGATAAAGCAGGCTGCATCATAGCTTGAGAGTAGATAAAGCATTTACTCCCAGACAGTAGTTTTCTTTAACTCTAATACCTTGCTGTTTTCCCTGCAGCACTGTGGCCCGTGGCAGCTGTGGAAGTTCACACTTCCAGGGAGGTGGATGCTGTGAATGGAACTAACCTACGCTTAAAATGCACTTTTTCCAGCAGCAGCCCGATTAGCCAGCGACTGTCAGTGACCTGGAACTTCCAGCCTGAGGACCAGAGCTCTCATGAGCCAGTGAGTGAGACCTTTATGCTCCATTTCACTGATACAGACTTGTTCAGACAAATCTCTCCCAAGGCACAGCACTGGGTAAGCCCAGTGACTGTAACAGGTCTCCGCGTAGGTATGGGCAAACACAGCAGCTGTGCACATGTATGTGTGCACATGTATCTTGGACCATCCCTCTGCTATTCAAAATAATTAAGATAAGCAAAAAGTTTGTTTGTACACCCTGTTTAAAGAAACAGTATTTCTGTCTAGTTTGGGGTAGTCGGGATTAAAATATCCTGGGCCTGATGAAACCATACCTGCTTATACCACAGTTGAACCTTATGTCCAAGCTAAGAGCCTGCAGTGCCTTGACCTAGAGAATGGCTTGTGTTGGCTAATGTGGCAGAGTAGTTAGGTTAATGAGTGCCGTAAGATAAGTAAAAGACAGCTGAACACAGCCTAACACAGCCTTTGGCCTGAGCAGGACAGACAGAGCACGGCTGCCAGAGCAAAGGTGCTATCACTCCTCAGGGTGAAGTGGCCGCAGAGTTCACTGGGAGGACCAAGTTGTCGCAGATCACCTTTGCTCAGGCCATTTGCCTCTGCCGGTGCCACTCAGCTTTCAGGCACTGCTTCTGTCACATGTGCTGCACACTGCATAGGACTGACATTTTCCCTCTTTTCATGTAGGTATTCTATTACCTCAAGGAGCCCTACAAGATGACAACTGGGCGGTTCAAAGAGCGAGTCACCTGGGATGGGAATATTCAGCGTAACGATGTTTCCATCGTAATCTGGAATTTGCAGCCCTCTGACAATGGTACATTCACATGCCAGGTGAAAAACCCACCAGATGTTGATGGCACAGTTGGTGAAGTGCGACTCAAGGTTGTGCAGAAAGGTGAGTGGCCAAGAACTGCACCCAGAGGTCTGCAAAACACTGTCGGGTCTTTCTCCTCATCTGGGAAAATGCATGGAAGAAAGGGATTAAAATGAGAATGTGGCAGTATAGGTGATGGATACAAGGAGAAAGGAGCCCGAGAAAAGGTTATTCAGAGGTTGCAGAAGGGCCTCATACCTGGGTCCCTCAGTGTCTCTCTCTTGCTCATTGACTTTTTTCTCTCTTGAACATTTACCTATTTCTCTCCATGCAGTGCAATTCTCCGAAATCCACTTCCTGGCAATGGCCATTGGGTCTGCTTGTGTTCTGATGATCATTGTGGTGATAACTGTGATTTTCTGTCGACATTTTCGGAAGAAACGGCAAGAGAAGACTGAGGTAGAAGACACAGAACTGTAAGGACATAGGAAAGAGGCCGATGAAATATATCTTCATGACCATTTGGAATCATTGGCTTAGATCCTACCCTAAGCATTTATGGTGCAAAACTGCCAACACAAGTAGCAGTAATTGGCTGCTTACTTGCAGTCAGAACAGAGTTCCAGGATGAATGGACTCTGGAGCCCTGGTTTTGCTCTTACCTTTCTGACTGGCTTCCCACTCAGAGCAGTAACCGTAAGTGGCAGTGGCAGTTGGCAGAAGATCACCCTCTTCTTTCCTCCATAAACCTCAAACTGTGGGCACCATCCCTGTAAAATGCTTATTACCTTATCATATAACTTCTTGTTATGTATTATCTATGCTATGTGTAACTCAGAACCTGATGCTGCTGCTCAGAATACCCGATGCTAGTTTGGGCTTTTTATTTTTTTAACAGTACTGAAAAGGAGAAGCTGAAGATTACAGAAGAAAAGGAAGCCACTCCATTAGAAGAGTAGAGATCTTTAACAGTATATACAAGGCAGGTATCTATTCAAATGTTGCCTAATTAATTTCTCCACCTTACTGTTGAGGATCATTGCTAGGAAAGCCTTCATTGCTGCCTTCCATTGCTATCCTGTTAGGTGGATGAAGAGGAACAAACTAATTTCCCTTCATCAGTTCTGAATCAGCTTTTTGATTCATTTAATCTTCGCTGTTTTAAATCACTACAGGAAGACTGGAATCTGTTTGCAGATTTGCTGAATTTACTGAAACATTTCACCATATCTTTTACCATCCAATTTCTGAGCTCACCAGTTGCATCTACTACTTTTTTTTTTTTTTTTCCCCAGCAACAAGCCATAATAACGTTCTGCTGTTTTGTTTTTCTTACAATCTTTCCTAGGTACTTCTAAAGCAGATCATGAATGCTTGTAATTTCAAATGTTAAGACAAACCTGAGCTACAAATGACTGATGCTGCAAATGTGGTATCCCTGCTCAAACTAAAATTCCTGCAAGAAAAGAGCGTGACATGAGCATAAGTTGCAAAGAGTTATTTTCTTCGGCGAAGCAAAACAGGAGGAAATGGCCCCATGAACAAGGCCCTTTTAATCTTCACAAATGCCGAATTTAAAGAAATCTGCTCTAAAGAAGAAGAAATGTCCCCAAAGATTTGAAAAAAAGGCCAAGATAGCCAGGTGGAGATTTGCAAAGTACCTGAGCAAACACATACTCATGCACCTTAATAATTAGAAGGTGCACCTAGGTTGCCCTCTTGTTCCTTCATCAAAAGCTTCTTTAATGTGACCAGAAAAGAAGACAGTGCAAGTGAGGGATCACAGGCGCAGCTAGTTGCTATAAAGTAATAGAAATTCCTTTGCTGCTTTCAGTGGAAAGTGCTACAGTTTGGGAGCACATGCGTCTTAACAGGGTCCAGCCCTGGATATGTTTCTCACGATGTGTTTATGGGGGACTGAATGGCAGTGCTGCTCCCAGCCACCCAAGGTGACCCTTGCACCTCGCTTTCTATTTATTTTTAATAACACAGAAGCGTATCTTGCTGCCTCCCAGGGCCCATTTGCCACATCCTCTCTCGGTGGCAGCAGATGCATCGGAGGGTGATGAAGCCCTGCGTCGATAAAGTCTACTGCGCTTTTACTGTATTTGACCAGCGCTAAATCAAAATATTATCGGCCTGTTTATGTAAAGAGTGTCTCTATGGTTTTATGACTGGACTGTGATGTGCAAGACGCATTATCTGTTTGTGCATGGTCTTTTTCTTTCACACATGTCATAAATAAACTTGAATTGTGGATAGAAGACAACATCATGCACAGCTGCAGTGCTAATGGTGCTCAGGGCTACACTGGGCGCACCGGCGTCCCGTGTCCCCGTGTGTGCCTGTGTCCCCTGTCCAGGACTGTGATGTGCAAGACACATTATCTGTTTGTGCATGGTTTTTTTCTTTCACACATGTCGTAAATAAACTTGGATTGTGGATAGAAGACAACATCATGCACAGCTGCAGTGCTAATGGTGCTCAGGGCTACACTGGGCGCACCGGCGTCCCGTGTCCTCGTGTGTGCCTGTGTCCCCTGTCCGCGGGCGGCCGGTGTCCAGTGTCCCGTGTCCCCTGTCCCCGCCGCAGCCCCGCGCCAGTCCCCGCGGGCCCAGCTGCGAGCAGGAGACCCCGTCACCATGGCGACCGAGGCGGCCATGTTGGGCCTGCTCCTCCCTCACCTGCGCACCCGCAGGTGCGCCGCCATATTGCGGCGCTGAGGGGAGCCCGGCCGGTGGGGATGTGGTGCGGCGGCTCCGGCTCCGGCTCCGGCCTCGGCCTCGTCCTGCGGCGGGTCCTAGGAGCAGCGGTGCTCTGGGCTCTGCGGGCGCCTGGAGCTGTTCCCCGCGTCTGTGCTCTTTATGCGGGAATGTCAGTGCAGTAGCAGACAGGCTGTGGGAGTTGTCTCTTTGGGTAAGTGTTATGAGGTAGCTGCTGCCGTGCCTCTGCCTACGAGCTGGGGCCGTGCCGTGTGTGCATTGGTACTTCCAGTACGTTGCAAAACAGAAGTTCTAATCCTTGCCTTCTGTGCTCGTCGCTCCTTCAGGTGTCTGCAGTGCGTTTTCCCTGGAGATTAAAGTCAGCTCTAAAGTGCGAGCTTTCATTGGCGAGCAGGTATCGCTGAAATGCTCTTTCACGTCCACTGCGCCCATCAGCGAGAGTCTGACGCTCGACTGGACGTACCGGCCCCTCACCGGGGGTGCTATGGAGACAGTAAGTAGAGTGGGGAGCCGTGGCTGCTTGAGCCTGGTGGGTTTCTGTGCATGGGGAATATCTCTCTTCTTTCTTTTTCTTTTTTTTTTTTTTTCCTCTTGTGTGCCTTGGTGTGTTTCCCCGTTGACTAGGGATTCTCAATGGCACCTTTTCTCCTATTCTGAATTGCTCTGGTGTACCTCAGACAAAAAAAAAAGTACTTTATGATAAGGCATGATGATGATAAACTAGATCTCTGGCTTTTGATACAAGTGCTTTATTGTATCCTGCAAAGAGACACAGAATGACTTTAGAGCAGCTGCTGGGGAGACTTCCTGAAGGAAGCTATGCTCTTGCAGTGCTGCATGCAGTTTTCTGCGCAGCTATGTCATCTTGCAGTGTTAAGAATCCTTTTTAGCATGTACTTCTTGATATTTTAAATCAAAGGGGAATTTAGTTTGATTTCTTAGGAGAGTGTTTTATTGGAGCGATTATTATCTTTTCTTCCTTCTAGATTTTTCACTATCAGTCTGTTGCATACCCAACAACAGTGGGAAAGTTCAGAGACAGAATATCATGGATTGGGGATATTGCCAAGGGTGATGCTTCTATTGCTATCCACAGCCTAGAGATGAGTGATAATGGCACCTTCATCTGCAGTGTCAAGAATCCTCCGGACGTGTTCCACAACATTCCCCAGACGGTCCTGACAGTGACAGAGAGGGGTAAGGCTCTGCTTTTAGTGCGCCTTCATCTGTGCGAGACGGCTGCCTCTCAGCTTTGTCAGACCTTTAAAAGTTTGAGCACTGCCTGTGGAATTGGTTCCCCGGAGTTCCGCATAAGAATTGCAGCAAGGGTTACTTCAGACGTCCTTTTTTAGCTAAATACACTGAGAACAATTTGATTTACTAGGAACAGGAAGTGATAGAGGAAACTGTGGTCAAGACACAGAAAACAAAAGTGTGCGTTTGTTTAGTCTGAGCACGAACAGGATACTTTTCCTTTAAGTGTGTTGGAAGCATGGATCACCCTGAACCTGACCAGGGCTTAGCACTTGTGTAGAGGTGAGCAAGAGCAAGTGGTTGCTTTCGCGGATGCTCAGTACATAGTTCAGAAATGGGAGTCTCCCGGTCTAGCAATAGTAGAATATGTTGTGCTGTGTGAGAGTCTAAAAATACTCTCACATCACAAATTCTTATCTTAGTAGCGTTTAATTTCCTTGTCCATTCTGCATGTAAGAGCTGCCTCAGATTTACAGTTTGGACATGCTCTGACTGCCTTCCATTGTAGATTTTTGTATATAAAGCACTCTGCTGGACAAGATGTGGGATAGGAGCCTTGCAGACTTGGTCACAAGCTGTTTCAACTCTGCCAGCTCTGTGTTTGGTGTGAAAAGGCTAGCAGCCCGTGTCCTGGGTGAATATATCGTAGAGACAGCTGGGCTTTTTCTGCCTTGCAGGTCTTTCCTTCCAGCTAACTTCAGCAGTGCTGCTGTCCATATTAGTGTTTCTCCCCTCCATTCTTGTGGTCATTCTGCTGTTGGTGAGGATGGGAAGGAAATTTGGAGTGCTGAAGGAGAAAAAAACATCTGGCTGTAAGAAATCTTCCATCGAAGTGTCTGATGAGTAAGTTTTGGTTGGAACTTAAATGCTATATTTCGACCTGTAGGCGTGGGACCTTCATTTCGTAACCCCCAGCACTTGGAGTTCAGCCATTCAGATCTAGTTCTCCATGAGCCTAATTTAGCTAGTGGTAAGCAAGCCTTTGGAAAATCCCTGTGCTGGAGCATTAACTTATGTTCTATACATCCTCTTTTTCTGTTAATGGCGTGAAGCAGTGGAACTGAAGTGGGTCATAGTTGGAGAATTTTTCACTTCTGTGTTCAGATTTATTTCAGCTTATATCAGCACGATATTTTGCTTATGCAGGCTTATGTATTGGGTTTTGATACAAAGTATCCAAAACAGCAAAGCAGGCCGAGTTCCTTTGAAAATGGCTTGAGCAGAAATGCCAAGGATAGGATGGACCTGGCAGACTGATTTCCCTTCTGAACGGGCTGTTATTCTCTACTGGCAGAGTTCAGAATGGTGGATGCATTGAGAACGGAGAGATGAATGCTGCTGGAGTTGTACTCACTTTTGCAATAAATTAAGTACTAAAATGTAGTATAGAGTGGGGGCTTACTACAGTGTTGTGATTAGTATTGTGAAACTTTCCAGCCTAACAATGTTACCTGTTGTATTCTCTCACAGCACTAGTTAAGCGAAAGGCCTCCCTTGAGGATGAGGTACCTTACCCTTTTTATTCCTTTTGGATTCAGTATGCAGAATCTGAGGGATGCTGAAGAGCCTCGAGTTCAGTGTGGCAGATCTAGAGCTCTGTCTGTATGAGATAGTAGTGCACATGCTAGAAGAGTCCAACCTAATTCTGTGCTCTTTCTGCAGGCCTGAATATACAGAGACAGACAACTGCTTGGGGAGACTCAGAGTCTGGTGTTGGAAGTGTGTGGTAAGTGAAAGTCGATGTTTTTGTCAGTGGTTTTGTCGACTTCAGTACTCGGAGGTGTTAGGGAAACAGCAGGTAGAGCTCGTAATGCCTCTGAACTGCAGAGAGGCATCCCAGGTGGCGAGGCTCATGCTCGTCGGTATCTCCTACAGCTGGTTTGTTGGAAGTGAGGACTGCCTGTTGTATTGCCTCCCTGGGGAGGGAACTCACCTTGAGATCTACCAAACGGACTTTTCTGTTTGACTGTATTGCAATCAAAGCTCACATCTGAAGATGAAAATTCAGAGTTTTAAGTGATAGGTCCTGTGCTGTGCAGTTTCTATAAAGGCTGTGCAAAACCACATTTGGGCTCTATGTTCTGAGTTTGACACTGCTGTGGTGGGGAATGGAGGCAGGCATGTTTAAATATAGTTTTTGCAAAAGAAGCTGCGAGCTTGTGCAGTCTTGCGTCTTTCTTGGAGGTCTCCCCACTTGCACCGTTTTGGTCACAACAGTGCTGTTGAACTCTTAAGGTTTATTTTTGTTTGGTTAATGTATGTTTCTTTGCTTGTTGGTTTAGTTTTGTGGGATAGGGGTTGTCCTCTAATTCTGTTCACCTACTACTGTAGCAACTAAATTCTTTAACAGGTTATGTGTTATACTGGAATTGCCGAGTGTTTTTCCCCACTCGTCCTACTTTTTTAAGTTCTGCATGCTTAAGCATGTCATACTGCAGAAGTAAGCTCCTTAATATGCCTACCTTGAGAGTGTTTCCATCTTTGCTCATGTCATACAGAGCAAGCTTACCAAAGGCACACTTCTCTAATACAGAGCCAGGGAATACGTTGGGGAGGAGTGAAAGACGTGTTGCTTGATTCGCTGTTCTAATGCAAGTCATCTTCCCTTGATATGGTTTGTCTGTTTTTCTCTAAAAACACACCTCATGTATCACTTATGCAGTGGCGATTTAGCTGTGTTTGTCTGTGATGAGTGAAATGGATTTAGCTGCAAGTAGTTACATAACTATAGGACATAGGGTTTTTTCAAATACACCAACATTTTAGAAGACTTAAAGTTTAAAGTTAAAAGTTTAAGCTTTTGTCAGAAGCTTAGCAGACTCAGAATTCTAAGTTGTGAATCACTTCATGTTTTCATACATGGGCTCAATTTTTCCCTCCTTACTTCTCGTTTAGGATACAGATGATGAAGACCCCTACTGATGAGTGACCAAGGCTATGGAGAAAGACCAAAATCACGGCATTGAAGCTCCTTGCTAGATAGGTATGAAGGTTGCCAGATAACCAGAACAGATTGGAGGAACTTGCTCTAAACTTGATGGATTGGAAAAATAATGGGATGATTAATTTAAGCACAGAAATGATTCTTGATCTTTCTAACTTATTGGAAGAAAAAAGCCTCAACACTTAAAACCTCGCTTCTCCAGTGCCTACAGCATCCTCAGTGCCTACAGCTGTACAGTTTGTTACTTGCCAGCAATCTGACAATGCACGTTTCTTTGTTTACATGCTGACCTGTTTTCTTTATTGTCAAGTCCTGTGCCCCTGAATTCAAATTGCTCTGAAGCACGAACTAATTCGGAGAATGTGGCAGCTTTCTAGGGTGATGATCATGGTGCACTGGTAACATTTTCTTCCCAATTCTTTTGGGACATATTTGCCAAAGACTTAAACGAGCCTGACAGGTTGGTATTAGGTATGCTTGCCCTTGGAGCAAGGGGAACAAACTACTTTTTAATTGCTTTTTGGGGTTTATCTGCTATTTAATTACAGGATCACCACTTTGTTCCTAATGTTTTCCTTTTCTTTTTGAACTTGCTCTCTGCCACAATTCTGTGTTTTACATTGTTGCATCTAGTGGTGTTTTTTTTTGTTTTTTTTTTTTGTGCTAAGACTGCATCTGTAGTTGTACCTCCTATTGTGCCTAGAGGTGAAACCCAATTCATGTACTTTTTTTATCAGAAGTGGGGACTGTGGACCTGGGATAACATAAAACCCCATCTACCTCAGCTGTTAACTTAAGGTTTTGTATTTGGGAGAACGATTGTGTTGTTCGTCTCTTCTAGATACTGTTTTAAAGAAACAGCTAGACGTATCAGTACTGCCCTGTAAGAAAGAGTAGTCTCTCTTTCATTAACCTTATTCAGTAATGGATGTCATAGATGAGAGCGGTCAAAATCCTCTCTCTGTAGGTACTTTAAGAGCTCCTGTCCTCTGCTTGTTTACTGTATGGGACGTTGATCAGATTGTCTCTTTTTACACGTGTCACAAGTTTACTGCCAACTTTCACATGCCATTGCCAATAAATGATTTTGTTTCCGTCAAAGCTGCAAATGTCTTTACTTGAGTTAAGGTAGGTAACCACTATTCAGCTGCAGGAACTCATAAACCTTCTGACCAATTGCTCAGCTGTAGAATCTGCTCTGTGGTGAGGGGGTTGGTGCTTACAAAACAGACTTGCCTCCAAAGGGAACGTGTTCTGCCCCGTCACAGCAGGTCTGTGTTGCCTGCCGTGGCCTTGGCATGCCTGACTGCACAGCAGGAAAACTGTGGTTCTGTGCCTCCAGATAAACAAAATTTTCTCCTGCCTGCAATAAACTAAATTCTAAAAGTTGGTGCTCCCCATTGAGAACTACTTCTCCCAAGCAAAACTGGGCAGAGAAAGTATGTCGATGGGACTGATACGCAGGCCAGAGAGAAGTGGTTTGTTGTTCCACTTTCAGAAGTGATACCTCATCTCACAATGGTTCTTTGTGGAACTGAGGAACTGCTCTTGTCTACACCATGTTTCCCTCTAACTGGGACCACTTTACAAGCAGTAGGCTAAATCCTGAGTGCATCTTTTCACGGTGCAATGCTAAGCTCCCAGCTGGCGGCTGATAGTGTTTGGGATTATGGATCGTTTTGAGCACGAGCAAAGCTTTTTCCTCCTCTGCTGGCTGTGTCGAAGTTGCTCTGTGTACCATTAAAACCATTTTACTGGGACAGAGCCCAGTGATTCCTGTGGTACCTGATAGGAAGAGAGAAGATGAAAATAAGCACCCAAAATGGCTGGGTGGGGGGGGGGCAGTAGAAAATAAATCTCTGTTTTTGAAAATATAGCAGCAGTCTATGCTATGGGAGCATCCTTGACAGGCTCTTCTTGGCTGTGTCTGCCGAACTGTGGTGCCCGGTTGCGCTAACAGTAGCGCTCAGAGAAGTTGTTCAGTATTGCTCGCTGGTCGTACCTTGTCAGGAGAGGATGCAGTCGACAGGACCGTCGAGACCCTGCACAGCTTGTTGTTTAACCTGCTTTGTTCCCCGCTACCAAGCGAGGGAGCGCAGGCTTGCCCAGAAGCGCTCGGTTTGTGACTTGTTACGTAATGACGGGTGCGAGCAGTCTGCTGCGTTCAGTGGACTGCGAGAGAGCGGCAGCTTCTCTCTGTGAAGAATGCCCTCGTTATGGAGCTGCATACCTATTAGCAGCACGCACACCCATCTGTAATTCTCCTCACCTCTCTGTGCTAGTCCTGTCTGCCTCCTGTTTCGTTCGTACCCCAGTCTAGCTTGCAACTTCCTCTTCCCTGTTAGAACTGACCACCAAGCTGAGCATGAAATAAGGGCTCTGAAACCAAAGGCTGCTAACTTTTAAATGACTCGCACGCACAACTTCAGGAAGATTTAGTATCAGCTTCATTCAGAGTCTCTGAATTAGTCACTGAGGAGTCCTTCATGAAAGATTCAGATGGCCTTCCCCAAGCCTCACCGGGTGAGTATTGTTTGCTATAATGTTTGCTTGCTTTCTTTTTGCTGAAAGAGAGAGGGTCTTGAGCTCAGATCCCATGCATGAAAGTAGGAAAAAGCAAAGGCAGAATGTCAGTGTATTTTTTTAATCCATTTGGTAAAGGTAGTTATCCTGTGGAGGTATCTGAATGTCTCAGTATTCCCTTAACTGCAACAGCCTTAGTAAGGGGGTGCTGCCTTCAGCACACCCCTGATGTGTGAAGTGCAGTTATTTACTGGCACACGCCACAAAAGGAGGCCCTGCAAACCCACCTTCCAAGGCAGGGCAAGCATTTATTCTGAGACAGGGCAATAAGTCTGGAAAGGATTTGCTGAGGAGGGTCAGAGCTTCTGCATAGCTCAGTAACTTGAGTGCAGAGTGTTTGGGAAATTGTGGAAGTTCTGACTGTGAATTTTCCAGGGGGCTTCTGTGCACTGAAGGCTTCTAGGCTTTTTTTTTTTTTTTTTTTCAATTTAAAGTCAGCCCCGACTTTGAACCTGGAACAGAGATATAGCTCAGTGATGCACTGCAGCAGCCGAGAGCTTTGGAGCTGAGCATGAATCCTGCCGTGTTTGTAGGTCATGTGCGTGCTATATTCAGAGCAGGCATGGTTTGCACGGTAAACTGTGTCATGGCAGAGATGCAGACAGCATATTCAAATCACATGCTTCCATCCCCCCCGCCACCAAAAAACCCAATCCTCAAACGATCCTTGCTTCTGAAGACAGACACTCGCAGCAGGCTTGGTGCCGCTTTTCAGGATTTCGTTTATGGAAAGAGGAGGAGAACTGGCGAGCCTGTTCCCAGTAATGACAGTTCTTCCTTGGCCTTCAGGCCATTTCTACCAAATGTAGAAAGATGACACCAGCTTTTAGCTTTTACTTTTACAGAAATGTGCAGCAGGTCAAAGTGCATACAGTGACCAAAGATGGCCCTGTCTGAATAGATCCTGGAGGCTTCAAGCAGAAGTGTCCATCAGGTGCTGCACCATGAAGCAGGGCACTTATGCCCAGGCTGAGGAGTCTGTATCCAAACTGCTCTGGGGGTGTAATAGAAGCAAACAGTGCTCTTTGAGCAGGATTACCATCTCTACGTGCCTCGGTTGAGCAGGCAGAGCCTCGACCCTCAAACCACCGGAAAGTTTAATAACTTGGGGGAAACACAAAGGTGTTTCAGACAGAGCCCTCCCCCTCTCTCTTCCTTTCTAGGGCTCAAAGCATCTGAAACCAAAGAAATATCTGACATTTGTGCTTCAGTGGGTTTCAGGCTCCCAGCTATCAACAGTGTTTTGTGGGGCTGGCTGCAAGAGCCCATAATCTAGAGAAGCGCTGGTTCATCCCTCTGCAAAGACCTGAACAAAGTCTTCTATTGACTTTGGGGTTCAATTCAGTTGTGAGCAGCCAGTGTCCTTCCCTGGCGAAAGCTGATGCGCACGTCCTCTCCGGTGTTCTTTTTAGAGCAAGATGAAGGTGTCACTGGCCCTGCTTCTGGTGCTGACATTGCTGGGTAAGCTGTAAGTCATCCTCGTGCTTTTATCCGCCTCGCCTGCTTTCTCCCAAGCTTTTGCTGAAAGACCTACGCAGTCCCTCTGTCTGTGCTGTGACAGTCTCTCTGGTGGCAAGGTTGCTCTCGGGGATTTGCAGGCCTGAGAGCATCAAGGCTGCTCGTGGGGACAAGCAGCTCCTCTGATCCGTGTGTGCTGTGTGTTCCCATCCTGCCCGGCTCACGCAGGAGGCCTTGAACAGCTAGAGTGTCCCCACACCGAGACCTGTGTTTGATCTGCCAGGCTCCAAGGCTCGGGAAGGACTTGAACTGCTTTGCTGAGTCTAAGTGCAGGGAAAGGCTTCCAGGGTATTGATTTTTGTGCTGCTCAAGGCTCCCATAGGCTGTCCCCTTCCTCCGTTTGGCTCCCCAGCTGGTCAAGCCTTGAGAAACCAGTTTGGGAAGCTGCAGCACTTTGCATTCATTATTTACAGAGCACCAGACAAGTACCAGGTGCTTTGCCAGGGCCTGGCCCTTAGTTGCTTGGTAGAAGAGCTGAAGAGACTGGCAAAGGCGGCAGGAAACACCTGCCTGCCTGGGCAGCTCCTCTGAATCAGCTCACCCAGTCTTGACACCAGCACCAGAGATGCCACCCCTCGTCCTGCTGGGTTCTGCCGGTGCTTTCTCTCCATCTGTTGCGTTTCCCTCTTCTCAAGGGCCCCGCTCTGCCCTGCTTTTCTAGGCAGAGGGCTGCATCTCACAGTTGCCGTTTTGCCTGCGCGGATGGGAGCGCAGAGGGTTTGTGCTGGTGAACCACACGGGCCTTTTGGCCCTGCTGCTTCCCCTTCACGCCGCGTGCTGTCTGGCCCCGCTCTGGGCAGCCGCCGGGCCGGGCTGCGTCAGCTCCCTGCCCTTTGATGTTCCTCTGTTTGTTTCCTCTGCCTGCGTTCACCAGAAACCCTGGGCACTAGATATGTGGCCAGACGAGTCTCAGGCCTGGGTCAGGAGCCTGTGAGCAAGAGGTAAAGAAGGCAAATGGCCGGGTTATGAAAGGAGGACCTGACATTTGCGTCGAATTGCCCCTGGGCTTGTGAGATGACAACAGCGCTGGTCCTCCCAGCCAGTGACTCACAAGAGCAACCCTGCGGGAGCCGCAGCCTTTGCCTCCGAGACGCAGAGGGCTGGGGCTGTGCCGCGAGTCCCGAGCTGGCCTCGCTGCTTCTCTTGCGCGTAGCTCGCTCAGCGAGCGCAGCACCCCAGTCGCTGCGCTCGCTCAGGATGAGCTGCCCCGCATCCCAGGCGCGCCAGGAGCAGGGCTTGGGGAGAGAGCGGGGCTCCGCGTCGTGCTCGTGGCTGGACAGTGCCCTTGCCCCCAGGCTGCACTGGAGAAGACAGACCTATGGGGATGGGCAGGCTGCATCTGCTCGTCCTCCCTGGCCTCACCCTGCTCTGCTTGTCCTTGGCAGAGCGATGCAGTGGGGCGGCTGGCTGGGTGCTCACGCAGCCTCAGCTCCAAGCCTACGCAGGGGACTCGGTGCTGCTGCAGTGCCGTTTCCAGGACTCCTTGGCCATGGGCTGGACCGTGGTGAAAGTGGACTGGCTGCGCGTGCCAGGCGCTGGCGAGCAGAAGGTGAGTCAGGAGCAGCGTTGGGCAGATGCAGGGGCAGCAGCAAGGCAGAGCGAGTGAGCAAGCAGCATCACTGCTCTTGGGAGGCGCAGGGAAGCCCGTCTGGCCCGGGCCACGAGACAGGGAAGACCCCTCTCTGGTGGCTGTGGGTACTTCCACACGCTATCCGTGAGCACACAGCACTTTCCATGGTGTGTTGGGGCTCTCCCAGACCTTGGGGGAGTGAAGCAGGCTCTCTCGCAGCCAGGGAGCCCTTGCTATGCACGGAGGGAATGTAAACAGGTTGGAGAGCTTTTGCACAAGGCAGCCCTGTCTCCGTGGCTCTTTTCGTCTGATGGGGTCTGCCTCCTCACAGGAGGAGATGGTGTTTTACTACTACAGCAACCATAGCATCCCTGTGGGCCTTTTCCGGAACCGGGTGCAGTGGCAGGGGGACATTTCCCGCTGGGATGGCTCCATCTTGCTGCAGGACGTCCAGGTGAACGACAGCGGCACATACGTGTGCGAGGTGCGGCTGCTGCAGCACAGCAGCATCTTCAAGAACCACACGGTGCTGCATGTCAGCCCCGGGGCCCAGAGAGGTACGTGCCCTGTGCCCGCTCCCCCCACATCTCCCCACTCATCCCCCTGCGGTGCAGGGCAGGGATGGGGCCACGTCGGCAGGGGCCCAGGGAGGCTTCCAGCCCTGCCACCGTGGTTTCCCTGTGGCTGGGCTGTGGTCCGTGTGTCTCCCTGTCTCGTGTCTCCCAGCAGGACAAGGAGCGGCGGGTGCCCGGGGGCCAGCAGCCCTGGGAAGCACTGCATTTTGGAGCATGGTTGTGGGCTGTTGCTGCGTGGCTATCCTGCTGGCGTTCCTGGCAGGACTCAGCCTGAGGAGGAGGTACCGCTGCCAGCGGGCAACTCGTTCACTGGGCTCGGAACAACGCGCAGCGCGGCCCAGGCTCCTGCTGCCCTCTAGTGTCACCGTGTCCTGGCCTGCCGCCCCTTTGCTCCCAAATCTCCTGGGCTTCCTACTGCTTTTGGAGACCTGCACTGTGCCTGGAGATGGCTGAGGGCTGCCGTGGACATTGCAGGCCCGCAGCAGGGCAGGGATGGCCCTAGAAGGCACTCCCCTGTCCCTGGAGACAGAGGTTGGGGCAGAAAGAGCAAGGAACCTCTTGTCGGAGCTGACTTTGCGTCTGCCTTCCCTCCAGGTCTGCAGCCAACAGCGCTCTAGAGAGGCCCAACGATGGTGGCAACAAGGTCAAAGTGGAGGTAGGGGCTCAAGCAGAGCAGGCTGAACCCGTGGAGATGCCCGGGCACCTCCGTGGCAGCCAGGAGCGAAGGGCAGGATGAGTGGCAGGAGACAGGGAGGGATGGGGGGCACAGGAGGCCAAGGCAGGTGCTGGGTGCGCACGCTGGTGCACGCACCAGCCATGGCCATGCCTGGGCAGCCACCCCAGCATTCACAGGAGGGCTGCGGGCTCCTCACTGTGCTGCAGGCTCTGGCAACTGCTTGGTCCCAAGCATCCCGGTCTCCCCTCAACAGGAAGGATTTTACGTCTCCATCCCTGAGGCTGGGGCACCCAAGGCTGAGCAGGACACAGGGAAGAAGAGTAGAGCAGAGGAGACCTACATAACCATGGTGAGGAGCCGAGCAGCCCTGCGGCATGGGCAGGCTAGGGCCGCGTGACCCCCTGCATCACTCCGCTGGAGTGCAGGGCCTGAGTCCTCGCTTGCCAGGCCAGGCAGCAGCAGCCTGGCCCTGCTGCCCATGAGAGCATCGCACCTTGTCCCTTGCTCCTTGCAGCACCCCTCTTTCTTCCGGGAGAACGGCATTTACGTGGAGCTGACGAGGAGGGTGATCCCGGCAGAGTGGATGGACGGGAAGAGGCAGGAGCATGCGGAAAGCAAGCAGCCTGACTGCAGAGCACTGGAGGCCCCTGCCGTGCTCCAGAGGGAAACAAACAGTGCAGCTGTGGTGTGTAAACCCCTTACCCAGCATGGGCAGGCCAGCAATGTGGAGCAGGCAGCCCTTCCCTGAAGCGGTGTCGTTTTGCTGCCACTCTGTGCCAGAGCTGCTCCATGCCCCATTGCAGTTACCTGCAGTTATTCCTCTCTGACCCTGGAGCGGGGGTGCAGCAGGGCACAGCCTCTGGTCTCCAGCTTTGATCTTGCTCCATGCAGCTCCAGGTCCTGCAAAAACCATCTCCAAGGAGAAGCTGGGAAGGGAGGGAGTGGGAGATGCTGTGGGAGGAGTGCGGATGTGCCAGTGGCGCCTGCTGAAGATAATAAAACCCCAGTGAGGCCCAGGGAGCTTCCTCTTACTTGCTGCTTAAATATGTGGAGCTCAAGCATGCCAAAAACTGCCCAGCTGGGAGCACCTGGGCCCACGTGCCCGCCTTGCACGCAGCCCCTCAGCCCCACTGGCTCCAGCAAGCAGCCAAGCCATGCAGGGATCCCTGTGCAGTGAGCACAGCGCGCGGGTCCCTGCGTGCGAGCACCTGCAGCTCGCTGCCCGGGCTGGGGAGCCTCGGCCGCTGCCTCCGTGGCGTGCGCTGACCCACCTCCCGGCACTATATATAGATGTTTGACACTTGCAGGTGCAGGGACGCGAGCGCCAGGGACCACCTCCTGCGCCCGCTGTGCCGGGGACACTGCAGCTCCGCTGCTCCACCGCACTCCTTGGTTTCACGTTGACACCCCACTCTCTTTTTCTCAGTGCGCTGCAGCTCGGGGATTGCAGAGGGATGCACCAAACGGAGCGGCCCCAGGGCACGCGGGGGCTGGTGGGTGGCTGCAGGGGCCTTAGCGGTGCCGTGGGGCAGCTCCAGCAGAGCGGAGGGGCCTGGCCATCCCGGTGCAGTGGGGTTGCTGCATGACTGCGGGGTCCTTCGGCCGCCACCGTGCCCTGGCGCTGCTCTGGTGCTTTTGCTCAGGTTGCTGGTTTTCTTTGCCCCTCACTGCTCCATGAGCGCAGCCCTCCTGCCTCTACTCTGCTCCATCACCACCTTCCCAGGGACCCTGAGCATGGCACTGCCATGTGCTTCCAGATGCAGGGCGCCTTTGCCCACACGGCCTGGAGCCCGGTGCCAAATGTGCTCCACAGGGCTGCAGCCAGCTGCCCGTGCAGCTGCAGGTGACAGCTCTCCCATGTGTGTGGGCTTGTGGGGCATCTCCTTCCTGCCCCACTGCAGCCTGGGCCCAGGTCCGCAGCTTTCCTTGGGCACTCCAGGTATGACAGGGGTCAAGGACTCTGCCCAAAACCCATTACAGCTGGGCAGAGCCTCCCCTTCCCACTGGCCTCATGAAGATGGACTGGTTGGTTGCCCTGGGGAAGCACCAGTAGTGCCAGGGCAGGGACTCTGCACTCCTCGCAGGATGTGGAGATGCCCAGGCTGCCAGGACAGCGTGCCTGGGATCACCATGCCCAACCAGGTCCTTGAGTGCTTGCTCCAGAAGTGAGACTGGCCACCGGGAGCAGATCCCTGCGCAGAGGTGCTCCTCAGTCTGCCAGGCAGGGTGGGATCCACTGAGCCTCAGCGGGCATCGCTCCCGGCCCAGCCTGCAAGCAGCCCTGGAGCAGGATGAAGCCGGGAGCATCCGCCTGCTGTTCGAGGGAAATTTTTCTGCCCTCCCACTTCCTTTGCTGAGATCCACCAACCATAGCATTTACTGATTTTTTTAACCCCGCGCTGCTCCAGCCGGCCATATTGGGCTGTGGAAATAAGGGGCTCTAATGTTATATGTCACCTGGAAATAACCCCGGGCGTCCGCAAAAAGCAAGCCCCCACCACCACCCTCCACACCACCACCAAGTCCTCTGCACACACACGAGTCCTTGAAAATGAGCCCGGATGCCCGGCTCCCGCAGCCCACCGTGTGCCTCACTGGCCTCGGCTTCCTCCTCGCGCTGGGTAAGTGCCACCTCGCCCCCCTGCATGCGACCGGCCACCCGCGGAG